TTCAAACAATAAATGGCCTTGGCCATCCAACTAGCATGATGGATTGAGCCAGGAATTTTAAAATAAATTCCATGCAAATGTTAGGGCGTGATATTTTATACTTACTATGCAGACATCAAATTTATGAAATTATATTGAAAAGTGTTTTTGAAGTAAAATTTAATACGCAATCTGAACCAGATGTTCCTATTTTCAATAAATTTCAAAAGTCTTGGCAAAATATAAATAAAACAAATTACTTAAGTGGAATAGAAGATACTGTTATTTTAGAAAAATTAAAAACAAAAAAAGACGATATTTTGAAATTTAGTTTTGAACAATTACAAAAATACCAACCTCGAGATGACTATAAGAAACTTTTAGAATTGGTCATAATATTTTTTGGTGAAACACCTTTACATAGAATTTATTTTAAAATTCCTGGCCCAATTCATCATGCTCGTTGGATGGCCAAGGCTATTTGTTGTTTGAAAATTTGTTTTGTTTCGGGGCCAATTTGAATTGTCAATCAAAGAGTTAATTATTTAAATAATATTCGACATTATGTATTTTTATTACAAGTTTATATAGTCTCTGTTCGTAAATAAATTTGTAAGTTAACATTATTTTAGCTTCAATGTGAAACTGAGACGGTATTAATTTTACTCTGATGTGTTTTTTTTAATTAAAATTAAAAAAAATTGTAGGTTTTGAATAGTTAATAATAGAAAAAATATCGAATTAAAAATGTATAGAAAATTAAATTTAAAACAACGGTTAAATTAATTTTTTTTATGTTTTTACAGTGAACGATTTATAAATTAACAATTTTAATGGTAAAAATAGAACATATACGTTTTTATTTTTTCAGGGCTAAATAAGAACTTTTCGAAAATTTTTGTAAATATACTTTTTATAGAAAAATTGTATACCTACAAAATAGTCCAAATAAACATTTTCGAAAAAGCTAAAGTTTTTGAGATAGTCATAAAAAACTAAAAAATCACCCTTAGGGGTTATTTTTAACCCCCTTGGGGCACGTCTTAGAGTTGACCAATCGTCACCAAATTTTGTACAATTTATTTTTTCATGTATTTGAATAATTCTAGGGGGTGGCACTTACAAATATTAAAAAAAAAAAAAACCTCTCATGTAGCTAAGGGTCACCCTACTGCCCATGTGATATAAAAAGTATCTGTGTTGAATATTTTAATTTATTCAATTTCTTATATTAACTGCAAATTACTTGTTATGTGTTATACCGCTCCATTCGGATACGTGTTAACTATATATAATTAAATTAAACTTTTATTTTAAACTTAATTTTATATTTTTAAGTTGTTTTATAATTTTAGCTTAACTTTATTTTTAATATCAACTTTTTATTTTCTTCCAACTTAACTTTCATTAGTTACTTTTTTAAACTTAACTTTTAATATTTAAACTTAACTTTTACATTTGGAAAAGTTAACCTTTTGTTTTTAAGCTTAACTTTTATACTTTTAAAAGTTAACTTTATTTTTCAAATAAATCTATACTTTAACTTAATTGTTATTTAATAGTTAACTTTTGTTTAAAGCTACTTTTTTGTTTTTATGTTTACCTTTGTGTTTTTATTTTAACTTTAATCTATGGGGTTGAGTTTGTAATGAGGAAGAGCTATTCTGTCGACTCAACTCAAGGCTCTTAGAGTATGAGTTGGTCGACCTAACCTTAGGGCAGTAAGTACTTGTACACGCAAGAGTAAGATGCCCTAAGTCAATGAATGAGATAGCTAACGATTTGGATGTGGAGGACTTTTCTCAGGAACGTCGGTTCAATGAAAAGAAGTATTTCATGGAAGGGAATAACTTCAAATGAGCAAATAAGAAATCGCCACCGGATAAATATATTGGTATAACAGGAAAAAGCCCGTTAAGTGCAACGAGGTATGATAATTGCAACCAAACTGGTCACTGGTGGGTAAATTGTTTGGAAAGAAAAATAGTGCAGACAAGAAAAGGAGAACGAAAACTGGCAAGCCGAAGAGGCAACTTTAGTTCAGCATGTTCAAAAACTTCGAAGTGACAATCCAGTTAATTGGTGTTTACAACAAAAATACCATTTGCAGATGGTATTTAGCTAAAAGCTCGGTAAACAACAAAACGGACAAGAGATAAACATCATTTCTACGAACATGTCAGATCACATGCTATGGACGTTATCTATGTCTACCGAAAATAGAAAGAAACTAACCGGAGCAATGATAATCGTTTCTTCTGGACCAGTATGGGAGAGTCGGTACATCAATAGATGACGTGATGATGTCACGTTTGCGTTCGTATTAAAGCGCTGAACCGGAAATGGGACAACCTAATGTGACCAAGAAAACCCAGCCAGCCATGGTTGATAGTTTGTATTGATCTAATGGGGCCATATCCAAAATCTCAACGTGGTAAGACTTGCCTACATGTAGTGACAAACTGTTACAATAGATGGGTGGAAGCATACCCCCTCGGACAAGTCACCATTTAGACGATTAGCGATATTCTAGAAAGAGAATTCTTCTCTCGTTTCGGCTATGCTTTATACTTCTTTTATAAAATGAACACACATTTCGCTTCCATAACAATGGATAAAGCATTAGAGAAGTGGAGTACAGAAGGGTGTAACACACCAATTTACCATCCAAGAACTAATCTAGTAGAATGCCGAAACCAAAATTAAAAAAAAAGCTTTGACTAACAAACCATTACAACAACTAACAAAACTATAGTCATTGTCCGTTTTCGATATATTTTTTCAATAAGAAATCGTCAGCACAGGCCAACACTCCCTTTGAGAGGGTCTTTGGGTGAGAAACCCTGGTGATTGACTTTATTGATGTTACACATTATTTCTGGGTAAGCAACCTTATTCACGGAATGACAACCAAAACAAGTAGAGATAATCGGTCAAATTAAGGATTTTACCGAAAGGCTTCCGAAAAATAAAAACAGTTTTCCTCGAAAAAACCGAAGAAATACACGAATTCCGGTGTAATAACCGAAAACTCTGGTGTCTCTGGTGGGAAAATTAAAATTTCCGAGAGGAGAGCACAACTCTTTAGAAACGTCGGATTAACTTTCGGTAAAAATAGTATTGGTTTTCCCAATATTATTAATTAAAGACGAAATTCGACCCGAAATAATTGTTTTAAACGCTTTAAGGAAGGTTACTCGGTTTATATTATTGTGCATATTCCTATCCAACGTCCATGAAAAATTTCTTTCAGGCTTTGCTGCTATGTGGTTAGGATCCGTATAATTAACAAAAAAGTGAGGGAGTGTTTATGACCAAAGGGAATTGTCAGTTAAAGCTGCACGTTACTGCCGTGAAAGATGACGCCTCCTAACAAATATTGTCTGTTACAGGATGACCAACAATTAACAGCTAGTGGATGCCCATCCGTACAGCCCATCTCGCCGGTTAGCACCGAAACCTTGATAATGATGCGCCAACAGGAAAGAGGGCTGATGTAGCAGACAGAAGTATTACTAGGAGAAACCCATGAAGAGCTACTGAAATAGAACATGGAACGGTTCAGAACGGTAAAAGTGTGAAAGTTGCGATCCCGCTGAATGACAACTGTGACACAGTTACCTCTTGTCGTTCAAGAGGTCGCGCGATGCCGCGGATGACACAAATCGGTCCAGTAATAGGTAAATTTTTCAACACTTCCTTATGGAAACCGGACTGTGTATATAACTGTTACTTATGCGAACTTTGTTATTAATATAAATATTTTAATCACCAAGTATTAATTATTTACTACAAATAAATCTTTCCATATGCATTTTTTTGATTTGAACCCCCCTCGTATATAGGAAAATAGTCCGATACTTTGTATAATTTTTCTTTTTTTATCTTAAAGAACATTATATTATTTTAAATTTAATGTAGGTTTAAAAAAGTTAGGTTTTTTATAAACATTATCAAAACTTGAAAAAAAAAAAAAATCTGGTATGATATTTAACACTGCATAGAACCTAAGTTTATGATTGTATTTTCAACAAAGCATATACCTAAAATGGCAAATATTTATATATCAACAAAAAATTCATAATAGTTCGTTCAATTTTCAAAAAGTTATTTCAATATACTTATATTACATAGTTATTTAAAAACTAAAAATATCAACATTGACTATTTTATCACAATTGAAACTCAACTAGGACTGAGGGTATTTTTTCAAAAATATGGCAGTCATACTTTCAACTAAATGCTTTATGTGATCTTTTGATTTATCGTTTTGCAAAATCGGTCTAGTAGAAGCAGTATAACCAATAATTTTTCAGCTAATGAAATTCTTAAATTCATTCTAAACTTAGCCTGATAAATAAAGTTAATTTTTATATGCTTGGTGATATTTAAAACAAAACAATGTAGAAGCTAATAAAAAGTATAATTCAAAAAAATTTAATTTTTAATTACTAACAAATATTTACTACGAATGTTACTTGTTTATGAATTATTATAAATGTACAGTATTATAAAGGTTTGTATGTATTTACATAAATATATATACATTTACATCGACTAAAGCAAAATAACCCTGTCTGTTTAATTTAAATAATTATAAACAGTTGTTATAATATTTTTGAATTTCGAATAAAGTCAATAAATGGTTAATTAAGCTTAGTAGAAACATCTGACTTGTAAGGTTGGAACAGCTTATTTTTCGAGTACTCCTTATGATAAACTTGTTCTTGTACAACAGAACACTCAGATTGGTCTTCCATTCTCTTAACTTGTGTCGCAAATAGTGATATAGTTGGCGGAGGGGGTAGGAGACGTTCAGGCGATGTGGATGGAGTGGAACGATTGACTACATCGGTCAAAACACAATTAACAATGCCACATTTACAACTGGTGTTACCGAGATATTCGGCATCTACTGATTGAATGTGATTTAATCCATCAGATTGACTAGAGCAGGTGACAGTCGAAGAGGCTGATTTAAAAGTAGAGGATTGATGTAAGTCATTTTGTGATCGATTGGTGTTATTAACTAATTCGGTGGATTCCGTGTGCCGGTTGTGGTGATGAGGATGGCTTTGTATATGATGATGAACGAATGGTTTTTTCATTATGTGCAATGGTGATGGCGTTAACGAATGGGGTGTCGATGAAGACGGTGATGCTGAAGGGTTGAAACTATGAGCTTGAAATTTAGCATAGTCATGAAAGTATGCAGGTGCTGCAACTGCTGCCGCTGCAGTGTATTGGTATGCGTTTGCAATGGCCGCTATATCAGGTAGTGTTCCATTTACATGAGCACTAGCTGCAGCTGCTTGCAACACAGTTGCAGCGAATGTTGGATCAGTATAAACCGCATATGGCCATGCCATAGCTATTCTTTGCCGTTTGTCTTTCATTCTTCGATTTTGAAACCAAACCTAAAAATACATAATTTTTAGGTTTATCTTATGGGGGTGTCAGCTTTTTTTTTTTTAATAGCAACATACATATTAAACTAGCTTATAAAACAGAAAATGATCATTTTAAAGTTATTCTCATTTTCATATATTGGCGAGAGGGAAAATACGGTCGGGAAATGGTTAGTGATAAAATTAGCAGCAGCATCCATTCCTCAACTCCAGACATTACTTTAAATTGAATATAACTTTTGAAATATTGGTCCAAAAGTTGTCATCGACCAGTCATTTTCTTAATTAGATGATTTTCTTTTTCATAAGCAAATTAAATATGTATGTTAAAAAGTGGCATTTAAAAACATAAAGTTGACACCCCTGTAAGGTATTAGGGATGCACCTTAAAATTATTTTATAATAGATAAGTATAAATATATTTGTAACTAACAAAAAAGTAAAAAATGTTCAAAAAACTTCATATTTTAAGCGAATTTGAGTGGCTAGCGTTAAAAGAATAACTCTATTGAAGAAGCATTTCTACGAGTGTAATTTTTTGGAATTATATAGTCTATTAGGAAAAAGCAAATGACATTTATAATAATCTATTGCTATATACAGACTTAACTTAACTTTTATTTATGTTATTAATAAGATTTTCAAAAAAAAATGTTAAAAGAAAATTTAATGTTTTTAGTATACTGTATAGAAAATTTACTTTAATTCTTACTTTTAAATTCATACCACTAAATGAACGATTTAAATTTTTTAAATATCAGAATCGGTCGTCATTAAAAATTTCTACTCTTTGGGATATATTTAATAATAAAAAAAATACGTGGTCATTTTTTCAGCTAGATATTTGAGATAACATGACGTCTTGATTTTATTTTATATTATATTAAATAACATGTATTACATTATCATAATTGAAGATAAAAATATTTAAACTAAAATATTATGAACTAAAAATATTTAAATGTCTATCATATAAAGCAATATACTTTAATACTTTTTTTTTTATATGATGTATTTTTGAATATTTTTCATATATGAAAAAAATTATTATAGAATAATTCTTTGTAAAATTTGTAAAGTTTTCAAATCCTAAATCCTTTGCATAGACTTAAAAAAATGTTTACAAAAATATTATAATAACAGATTCATTGTGATTTTTCATGAGTATAAGGTTTTAGAAATGTTTTTAATTTAAATAAATACAAAATTTTTATGTTGTACATATTAACAAAACCATAATAACTGTAATATTATTAAAATAATTCAATTATAAAATTTAATTATATCATATAAATTAAAAATATAGTATATAAGTAGGGCGTACTTTTATAGTAGATTCAGGTAAATTTAATTCAGTGGCTAGTTCACATCTTCTGGGTCTGGACACATAATTTTCTTTGTAAAATTCCTTTTCTAATCTGAGTAATTGTTCTCTAGTAAAAGCAGTTCGATATCTTCTTATAGATTGATCATTAGAAGCTTCTAAAGTAAAATATAAATACGATATAATAAAAAAATTAAATTTCGTTTAAGTGCCAACTTCAAATATTGAATGTTTTTATATTAATCAGATATTTTAGTAAGTTAGTTTTTCATTATTTTTGCCAAACTTTTTTATTTATTAAAATTCACCTTTGTTTTGATCGGGATGTGATCTATTATCCAACCTCAAACTGTAGTTCTGAAGGTCGTTTTCCAATTTTGGTAATTGGAGTTTTGAAAACATCAGATTGCCGTTTTGACGTTCCATTGTTGTTTCGTGATCTAAGCTTTGTTGATTAGGTCTTGCCAAACAAGCGTATGTCGAGTTTTGCATTTTTAATTTTAGTTTGATGAAAATTGATAAATTACTGTTTAAATTTATTGAAAAACTTAGTAAAAGCCTGTAACACATATGGTTTGTATTAAACTGATATTTTTGCAACACAAAAATTATTAAAAATTAAGAAAATTATAACCCGAACATCGAGGTAGTAATTGATGTAACAATAAAATATATTTGTCTATATTATTTTATCCTTAATTGATTACTCTGTATATGATAAAGTTAATACACTAATTTTACCAAAAACTACTGATTATTTCCAATTTTTGAAAAAAAAAATATTGTTAAAATCAAAAAACCACAATAATATGTAGTTTTCAATCATTATTTTTTCATTTCATCAGGGTTAAAATATCTAAACATTTTAATTTCTTCTTACGATAACCTTTACATTTAGTTAGATAATATGATAGAAAAAAATTCTAAAAAAATTTTTTTTTTTATAACTTTTTTATCTGATAATCCGTTAATGTATTAAAACTGTTTAAAGATTTGGATTTGAAATAGATATTCATAATTAATTTATTTGTCAAAACACCGAAGCCAATAATAATACAAGAAAACAAATAACCATATTTTTTTAAATTGTTTACATACTGTAAGTTCAACATAAAAAATTAGAACATTTTTTTTTTAATTTTCCCAAACATTATTTTGATTGATGTTTTTTTCATAAAAGAAACTGTACTTGCGAGTAACATATTTTCTGGTTTGAAACCGGTAAATAAAAAAAGTATATTATTTTGAATAGTTAAAATTAGTGTCTTAACTTTTAAAGAATGATGTCCCCCCAATTTTTTTAATAAATAAACATTTATTCTTATAAATGTATAGATTAAAGTTGAATTAAATTTAATGAGCCATGGTAAATGTGGAGTGTATTGTAATAAAAAATTAAAACTAAGAGTAGATTGTAGGGGTAAGTTTTTATAAATATTCAAATGCTAATATTTCTAAAAGTATTATTGCAAAACTGTTCCACCATCGACCAGTTAAAATTTTATTCAGATGATTTTTCATTTAACAGTAAAAAAATAATTATAGTTTCCTATTTATCTTTCGAAAATTACCCCTAAAATCTACCAATATGAATCATTTTTAGCTTCGGTGCTAAGCTGAGAAAGTATTAATTTTACCATGATGTGTTTATTTTATTATTTTTTGTGAATGGCGTAGTAAAAACATATCTCTAAAATGAAACATTTTTCAATGATAAATGACCAATATTTACTTTGCTAAACCAAATTTTTACTGTGTTATTAAACTTGAAATCAGATTTTTTCTGTCACCTCTTTTTTGAGATTATTACTTACTAGAAAGCGAGTATTTATACTTGAAAAAATTAATAAAAAACAAATTTTTTTTTTTTACATATTCAACAAACAAAAAAATGTTTTTATCAAGTTATTAATAGTAATTCGAGCAAAATTTCGACTTAAAATATGGTATTAACCTATTTTTTTGATCCTACAAATTTAATTTTAATGAAAGTTAATAATTTAAAATTTTTTAACTATTTTATTATTATTTGGTTTATATAAAATTCTTACACTATCATAAATTACATTTAACTATATTGTGATATTATTTTTGTTGTAAACCTAATTTAACCTATAATTTTGTCCTCTGATGTGATGTTGAATTTCATTTTAATCTAGATATTGTCGTAATATGCTCAATGCTTTGCATTACGCATCTTACAATTATCAATGAAAAATATATAATCTGTATTTTAAATAACTTGTAAACAAACAAATAATTTATCTGTTATAATAAATACGATGTTCAACACAATTTCTTATTATTTATATATATATATGTCAATTGATTAATTGTTAAATATGTTATCTCAATATAATAATCATGTAATGTATAATAAAATACAATAAACTAAAAAGATCACTAAAAGCGCTGACAACAATATCCCTGTATTGGGGGTACTATCATTTTACTATAAAAAGCACTGAAATCCTTTCGGACTCGAAGGAGTGACAACGAGCGAGAGAGTTCGTTTTCTCTGAATTGAAATAAGAATAAAAAGAAACAATTATCAGTTACAGCCCTGTGTTGTTGTCGGCTGACTTTTACGCGTTTTGTTTATATATGAAAAGAACTTGTTTTAATTATTTATCTTTTGAATAAGTGCGAATTAAATACTTTTAAACATATATAAACATATCGAGATATTTATCAAATCATTTTACAGCAATTTGCAAGAATAAAAGAAGTAAGTAATTTTATGTTATCCCAATTATTTGGAGTTAATAAATTTGAGTAAAGGATGACAAAGCAATAGATCATTTATTAAATTAATATCTTAAAGTGTCAATTTTGACTGGTTGGTTAAAGAAATTATACATAATCACGTTATATGGTATTCGTGAACTGGCTTCGCCGTTTCGTTGCCTTTTAGTCAGGACATTAGAAACTAACCAGACAAAAGTTTATTACACCTCGAATAGAGGTACTACGTCTATTATTTTTTTATCTACTTGTCTTTGTCGTTCTAAACCCTCGAACCAAACGATCCCGATAGAACCACAATATCAGGTTCTCACTTTATACAAAAACCCAAGACCCCATCATTCATTTTCATTATTATTATTATTAGCATTATTTTTATTTTATTAATTTTTGTTATTTGAATTATAACAATATTTTTGGTTATTTTTCAAAAATTCACACCAAGAACTATATAGAAATGATTACTATGATTTCTATTTAAATGATTTATTGCGATATAAATGCAAAAAATGTAATGATTTTAATGAAATTTTGAGCTTTTCCCATAAATTTAATGTAAATATTAGTTATAAAATTTCCTAACTACATATTAGTCTTAAAAATACTATATTTTATTTATTTAAAAAATTCTTATATAATTTTCTATTTTATGATGTCAATATCAAACTTGCATTTTGAGCTAAAAGAAAGTTACGGTAAAAAGTTCAACTTCTTTTATTATAAACTTGCAAAAAAATTAAATCTATAGGACTAAAAAAATAGGTTAAAAATTACATATTAAATCGAAATTTTTTACGGATTATTTAAACATATTAAAAAATAAAATTAATAATAATTTTTTTTTTAATGTATTTTTTATAAGTATATACTTCTTTTTTTTTAATTAGTAATAATTTCAACAAACATTTTTGGCTGATTTGAAATCGGTGCAAAAATGGTTTTCAAAAAATATATTTGAGTTTTTGATGAAAATTCTTTGTAGACCAGTAAATTTATTCATAAATACCAATTAATATATTTTTAAGTAATTCATCAAGCCTTTTAATTTTTATACACGTTTGTCATAAATGTAATAGCTACTTTATAATTTTTTATAAATTCTCCGTAAGTTATATATATATAACTTATGCAACTTGTAATTATTATATAAATAATGAAATCGGAGTTTATTTTGATTTTGAAATAATCCACCAATTATTTAAAACTAAACATTATCTATAGATTTATATCGAAGCATTTTTTATGATAGTGATTTTTATCACTGTCAGATATTAACTATACTTGTGCCAACTTTCCCATGTATATAATGGGTTGCAATAATAGTATATTTTTTTTTTTAGAAAAAACTTAATATTCACTTTAAACTATCGTTTATAAAAATAAATAAATAAATTTATCAATTTAATCTATTTGTGTTTATGAAAAAATCATAATATATTGAAAAAAGTGAGGAAAGTAGAATTAATATACTCAAATATACAGAATGATTCTTTTATCGCTAACCATTCAATTTCTCTTAAAATAATCATTATTTAAGAAAATATTTTTGGTATTTTTTAGTTTTATGATATTTTTTAATATCGTATTATATTTTTTAATTATTTCTTAATTTCTTAAGTCTTAATTATTAATTACTTTTTTAATTCGTTCTTTATACCTTATAAGGGTGCCATCTTTGTTTTCTAGATGGAAAATAAGTATTCTACTAGCATATAAAATAAAAAATTATCTAGGGTTTAATCTTATAAAGTTCTTCATTAATTTATATGTTTATGTCACACTTATTGAGATAATAAATGTTTGTTGTCTGGAAAATTCTTTATAAAAGTATTTATAATTAACTAATTCAAAACTTTTAATTTATTAGTTTATGTTGAAAATAAGAGTTTTGCAATGGTATTACATCGATAATTGTGATATTTCAGTAAACATAATCTAAATATTTTCTTTAATTATAAGAATAGACAATTTTTTATTTCAAATCCCAGTAGAGTTCGTTCATTGGTAGTGTTTATACACTGGTGATGTTATCCTAACTAAGAATATAACTGGTAGATAACAACTTTAGAACCACTACATAGATAATTCAGCTTAGTTATTAGATGTTATCCAATAAATAAGAAAATAGTTACTACATAGATATTTTGATATATAATCATATTAATATTTTTCTAAAATAACCGGTTAGTTTTTCTAATTGGTCCGTATGAGGTTTATTACTACTCCAAAATAGTAAACTAAAATTACCGGATATTAATAATTTTACAAAATAAATCACCCACAAAAATTATTTAATCATTATTTTAACAAATTTTGATCAAAATTAAAATTAAAATTTCAAATGAACATTAAAAATAGTCTCTATAGTTCAAGGAAAATGTATGAAAATTGAAAATTTTGAAAAGTTTGAAAAAACTGATGAAACCACAAGTCAAATCTAATCTTTATTATTTTCAACAACTCTTTTGATCTATGATAAAGCTGTACAAGGAGATTTTCTGCAATCGTATGACCATTTTTCAAAATTGTCTACTGTTTCAGCGCACAAAAACAACAATCCAGTCTTGTACCTATTTCTGATCGGTCATTTAATACAATAAAAAATTAGATGAATAATGTAATTATAATAATAATTAGAATAAATAATTAGATTCTTTACTACTAAATTTTTGAAATGATTGGTAGACTCATTATGACAATTACCACGGTGATTATAATACATTTTTGGATTAAATTTTTGTTAATTGTCTAAATAAAATTATAAATTGGACATATTTGATTATTGGACAGGCTTCTTTAATTATTTTCCTCGTAAGTACAGTGAATGATGTGGAATTATTGTAACTACGTTAGATTTTATTCACTTAAGATTAATCATATGTATAATTGAAATAAATTTGTAGTATATATGAAACTTACCAGCTCAATGCATTTTTCCTCGGTATTTTTGTGGTTATCTGTTTGATGTGAACTCGACGATGTGCGGTGTGCGTCTGACGTTTCTCATCCGATTGTTGGTGACTCAAAGGTCTATTTCACACTCAAAATCTGTTTTCTACATTTAATGCCGATGCGTGATACTGATTTTGCACGCACACTGTATCGCGATACAATAACCCCGTACGTCCAAGAGAAAGTAGGGAAGGGCGTAAATGTTTTTTTAATATCGTTCCGTTCTTACATAAACATGTCCTGCTCCAGTAATCGTTGCACTTTTGCCGAGACGACGGTGCAAACTAAACGATGGCATAGGATATCCGGACGTTATAATAAGGTATTATCGCGTTGAATAGGGGGACTCATGGGCCCCTCGAGAATACGCGTTACTGTTGCGGGGCGGTGGTGCAATAAGCGAAGAGGAAAAGTTGTTTCCCTGCCCTCGTTTCGCGGCGGCCATTTTGACCGTTTGGCCGATCGACCCCTCCGATTGGCTACCGTCAGAGCGGTTAAATTGATTTAACCCGATGTGGGCGTGTCAAAAATATAACTCGCACACACACGTGCCAACGCACTGGTGCAATCATCCCCTTCGGGCTCCGACAAACTAATAGGCGCAATATTAAGGATTTAACGGCGTGAATAATGGTTGTCGTTCAGACTGTTTTCATGAGTATTTCATTTAGTCGGCGCAGCTCTCCGCGGCTAATAACTGCCTCAGTAGAATATAATATATACGAATTTTATTAAGTTAAATATATAGACTTTTGTACAAAGAGATAATATGCTCGAGATACTCGCATTAAGTCCGGAGTCGCGTAGACTTAACCAAAACCAATTAAACGCTGTATACGCCATTATGTATATAGAAATGTAGCTTATTCACATTGTACCCTATAATAGTATAACGAGACGTAATTTAAAACAATAAGGACGGTCAATTATAATACACATATTTTATGCTCTGGGTGGATAAGTGTTACAAGCCTATGTAAAGTTTAATAGTAGCGCACTAATAAGATACCAGTTGTGTTTCAACCAATTTTTATTTAAAATAATAGAAAGATCAGTAATAATCTCTCGAGATAAACTCTATTTCGTGCTATGTATGTCTGCTATAAGAAAAAAATCACATTACAAAGTTTATTTTATCTTATAATGATAAAATATAGGATAAAAATACAATCTGAAAATGTAAACATTTTTAGCGAAAGTAATTTGTAGACTTTTTCTGAGTTTGAAATACACCTAAAATTGTTCAATTAAGTTAAGTAGTAAAGAGCAAAAATAACTATAAAATTGTTTATATTTTTAATGAGAAAATTTCATTTTTACCTACAATTCACTAAAATAATATAAAAAAAAATATCATCAAATTAATCATTATTTATTCTTTAAAAAAAAAAAAAAAAAACAGCTAATATTCAAATCAAATGATTCTACCAGTGAAATATTGCTTTTAATAAGGCTGTATAAAATAATAATTATTATTATTCTGAATTGATAGCGTTTGTTTCATACAAATAAATAGTATAAATGTAACTTGGAACAATGAAATAAAATAAAATGCTAAAATTCAGGATATTTATAAGCAGAACTTTTATTTTTCAACTGATAAACGAGGAAAATTAATTTTATGATTTGCCTAAGTTATCTCAATGATGTAGCAGAAAACTTAGTGAATAATTATAAGATAAAACAAAATTAGACGGTGTTAGCCGTGTTCTTATTACTACATAATTACTAGCAACTTTATTGATTATATAAACCAAACTACAAAGGTACTACAAAAGTTTTCTCCGAACATCCCTAAGTGAAGATTGAACCCATTATTCAAAAAATTATCATAATCCTCCAAAGTACGGTTAGGATAATAATAATCTCCGTATACGGTTAATAACAAAATTAAATTTCTACATCATTTCTATCATATTGAATATTTCCATTCTGCTTTATTTCAAAACAAAAAGGAAAATCATTTTATGCGCATAATCTCAGTGCTGTAAAGAATACTTTTTCAAAGCCATAGAATACTACTGAAATACTTTTATTAAAATCTATTGAATACTACCCAATTATTTTAAATCAAAGAAATTAAAAATATTTTTTTAGAAAGCATTTGAATTTATAACCCTTTAAAATTTAGTTGAAATTGCGCATATTTTTATAACTTATTACAGGAATAAACAATTATGTATTGCTTAATTAAACTGTTTTACAGTTGAGTCATATACTCTGAATTATTATTCAGATATTGTTATTAGAATTATTTAATAACCCTTTTAGGTACTTTTTAACAAATCAATGTTAATTGTATGAAACAGTTGTGTTTCATTGATACATGAGTAGTAAAAAGGTTATTGTGTTTATAAAGACCTAATATTACGGAAAGTTAAATTAAAATTTATTTTTTTACTATACTAGAAGTTAAATCTATTGTACGAGAAAACTCAATTTAAATTATTTAAAATTTTTTATAAAAATAAATACATTTTTTTATAAAACTGAACAGTGTGAAATTATCTAATAAAAAATAGTAATACTATAAGCTTTGATGCGAAGCTGAGAAGGTATTAATTTTACCAAATCTTAGGTAGTTCCTTTTCATTTCGTATAATTTTTTTGAAAATCTGACCCTCTACCTGCCCACAGGGGGAAATTCAAAATAGCAACTTTTGTACAAAAATTTAACTTTTTCAATCTAAATTTTGATAATGTTATGGAAATACTCTAAGCTTATTTAAATATGTGTAAAATTAAAGCTTATGTTACACGCTATTAGTTAAAAGAAAAAAATTGAAGACAGTCATTTATTTGTAAACGGTCCCCGAAGTTAGACAAAAAATATTATTTTGCTGTAGAAATCACCGTTTTTTAAGTTTTTGTTTTACTTAAATTTGTCATACCTTTTTTTTATTAATATCGAAATAAATAATTTTAAAAAGAATCAAAGTAATCATTTCTATGAAATGTTTGATGTTTAAATAGATCTTGCAATTGAAATATTCAGAACTATATTCCATATATTTTATAATATAGTAATATTCAGATACTCCGAGTCTAGTTTTACTTATGATTTTGTTCGCTAATGTGTTGTTGAATTTTATTGTAACCTAGATTTTTTGGATTATTGTTTTTATATGCAAATACTCGATTTTTACTGATTAGTAAAAATCTAAAAAATTTGTATAATAGAAAAAATATAACTGCTGATTTGAAGTCAAGGGAAAATCGGTTTTCACTGATGAAAATTCCTTAGAGACAAGTTTAGACCAAATTATTTTCTGAAAAGCTTGGCATCGAGAACTTCAAGTTTTATATATGTAATGATATATACAATTACTTTATAATTATTTATAATTACTCCTTAAAATTTTCAATATTAAATTATTGAATTTCAATTTCATATTATGATTAATCACTTAAACTTAACTATAAATTACTAAGTATTTATTCATATACTTATTGAAATTAAAATTATAAAACAAAGGGTTACTAATTAGGGTATAATTAAGGAAATAGGAGTTCATATTGTTTTTGGAATCCACAAATTTCTTATAATTATGAGATATGTACAGATTTGCATTGAAGCGTTTCTTATCAAAGTGATTTTAATCTCTATTAGATAACATTTACACTTGTCCCAATTATGGCACATTTATACTACGGACTCCATTGTGTTAACTTTTATTTTTGTTATATTATATACCAATTAAAAATATTTAAAATAATTCTGAAAATACTTTCAAAATATTTGATTAATTATTTTAATACATTTAGATAAATACAAGACAATATAGATACATTTTTAAATAAGTTTAATAATATCTCCAAGTTATCATTTACCTCAATAAGAACTTATAATAGAATCATAGAAATTATTCCAATGAACAAAGTTTTTTCATATTTTTTAAAACAATAATTGATGGGATTAGTATAACAACTAGTTATGTTCAACTTTCCAGAAAATAACTTTTTGTCAATTTCTTTAAATTTTAAACGATTTCTAAATTTTCAGGACTTAGAAACTTCATATTCTACATTACTATTTAGATAATAATTATGTTTTAAATGTGTTTTTTTGGTTTTCTGTCACTGGATGGTTTCCGCAATCACGTTATTCATATAACGTATTCATATGTTACATAAATATATATAAGTGTAGGACTGCATCATTATGACCAATATTGAAGTAGTACGATTGCCGTGTAATTTGCCCAAATTTGCAAAATTCTCAAATCATCATTGAGGTGACTATACTCGATTATTGAAAAGATATTTTCAGTACTGAACTGATCGAAAGTACAGCCATTATAACTAACAATACGTTGTGAGTAAGTTATCAGAACGGGTTAGTTAGATATTATATTTTGATGCCAGAATATTAATTCACCCATAGGGTTAATTATTTAATTTAAATATAAAAAACAATTTTTTTATCATGCTTAATTAAATTAAAATTATACAAACTTATATTTATTTTGAAATGCTCAAAAGTTTGTGATTTTAATAATGGTCAAAAACAAAAATTTTCATTTATATGATAGTAATTGTATCATTTAATTGACGGTATTCGGAAAAACAATTAATGATTAAACGACAGAAAAATCAATTAGAGAAATTGCGACAAAATAAAAAATATAAGAATGAAAGTCGTTTATTTGAAAAATGACCTCAATCTCAAAGTTATGAAAAATGAGTAATCAAGTACAAATTATTTTTTATGATATATTCTCTACATTTTATCGAATAGATTTTTGACAACTTATAAATCGGTAAATAAATAATACTAAACAACATCGAAAAATTCCCAAAATTATCATTTTGAGAAAAATTTAGTAGTCAAAGATAAATCAATCTCCTTGTATAAGTAAAGGGTTCAGTAAGTAAGGAAATATGTTTCTTATGTTCTCATTGTTTATAATAATTGATATGTTTCTTTACTTACTGAACACTCTATAAATACAATATATATATACAAGATAATTGATTATATCATATTATTTATATATAAATTGTATATTTCATCATAGTTATGTTAGTTACTGATATATGGTTACTGAGTTTTTTGTTGTGTATTAATAATTGAATCTGAGAGAATCGAAGAAAAATTTTTTTAGTCGGCTTTGTTTTAAATTGCTCTGGAAATACAAATCAATAAATCAAGTCCTGGATCAACAATTCTATTTTAAATCTAACCTAACATCAAAAGTTAAAAATAAAGACTAACTTGTTTTGTCTAAATTTTAAATAAAAGAAAACTGATATTATAATTAATTGTGAAGTAAAATAAAAAAAATACATTTTTTGTTTCGAATTTGACTACTTGATACGTCACAATCTAGTTGATTGATAGCGAAAATTAATCCAAAAGTTGTTATTGATCAGTTA